TTTCTTTCTTTCCTTCCTTCCTTCCTTCCTTCCTTCTTTCTTTCTCTTTCTCTCTCTCTCTCTCTTTCCTTTCTTCCTTTTCTTTCCGTTTTTATCCATCTACTACCCACCTACCCACCTATTTTATTGGCATCCCCTGCATTATTTCCTGCAGTGCTTCCTCTAAGCAAACAATCCAGACTTTTAGCAAGTGACTTCCTTTAGTGCTTTGCATAGAGAAAAGGAAGGAAAGACACACATGAAAAGAAAACAAAGGGAGGGAAAGAAAGAGATGTTGGAAAGGAAAAGAAAACCATAAACTTCTCCTGACTTTGGGCTCCAGCCCTATCACTGACCTGCAGGATTTGCGGATCAACATAGAGCAACATAAAGTAACAGATTTGGAGGAGACTTTAGAGGTATTCTACTCTTAGCGTTAGATTGCTTCTCTAATTAACTGCTTCTCTGTCATCTGCACCTCTATAAATGTCTGGTTTAGTTCTGCAACCCAACAGGACAGACACAGACTTCAGAGGATAATTAGGACTGCAGAAAAAACAATTACTACCAACCTGCCTTCCATCGAGGACCAGTCAAAAAAAGGGCTGTGAAAATATTTACAGACCCCTCACATCCCAGACATATAGTTTCAACTCCTACTCTCAAAACAACGCTGTAGAGCACTGCACACCAGAACTAGACACAAGGACAGTTTTTCCCAAACGCCATCACTCTGCTAAACAAATAATTCCCTCAACACTGTCCAACTATTTACAAAGTCTGCCCTCCTATTACTATTAATCTTCTTATCACTCATCACCCATCCCCTCCCACTTGTGACTGTATGACTGTAACCTTGTTGCTTGTATCCTTACGATTTATATTGACTGTTTCCTAGTATGATTTGATGGCTTATTGTACCCTATGTCTATTATTAAGTGTTGTACCTTCTGATTCTTGACGAATGTATCTTTTCTTTTATGTATATTGAGAGCATTTGCACTAAGTCAAATTCCTTGTGTGTCCAATCACACTTGGCCAATAAATAATTCTATTCTATTCTATTCTATTCTATTCTATTCTATTCTATTCTATTCTATTCTATTCTATTCTATTTCTACTTCTACTTCTACTTCTACTTCTAGTCTATTTCTATTCTAACCATGTTCCATTCATCTCAGATGGAAACACAGTCTACTCCAAAACAGCCCCTGAGCTGAAACACATCTTAAAAGTTGCTAAGGTTGAGAAACAGTGAAATAGGCATTTACTCAGAGAGGTGCCTGCGTGTCCTTGACTGTTCTGCTCGGTAGGACTGGGCAATGCAGAAAGTGTCCCCCAAGGCTGGGATGCAGGTCTCCAAATACAGCTGGGATGACTGGGTCAGATAAGCTTCCTCGCCAAAATAATCCATTTTGAAGAGTGTTGAGCCTCCTTCTACCTGCGTTTGAACCAGGGTGGGTGGGGTGATCTGAAGATAAAAGAAGACGTTGTACAGGACATTGAGTTTATTCCCAGGACTTCCACTTCGCACAGAGTTCAAGATAGAAAACCTACACCCGTTGGGGGCCTTACCAACAGAAAACCACATAGCTAGAAACTTTCTTCAAAGGTGAGGGAAGAGAGAGAAAATTCTCTGAGAAACCAGTGGCTTAAGAGCAATGACGCCAGAAGCATACTTACTTCGTAATATCCGCGGTCAAAGAAGTGGTCTCGGAAGCACTGGATGACGGTGGAGCGCACCTTTAAGATTCTGCTCAAGGTTTCCCCCCGGATCATCATGTGCCGGTTGTTGAGCTGCACATCCACATCTGACTCTTCATTGACCAGGTTATCGGCTCCTCCAGCGGGAGCCAGACCAATGAGTTCCCAGTAGTCGCAACTCAACTCGTGACCTCCTGGAGCCTGTGGGAATTCAGATTTTTAAAAGACGGAAGACGCTACCACAGTAACACTCACTTAGCACTGAAGATCCTGAAGGTGAAACTCAAAAGACTTTGGCCACCTAATGAGAAGGAAGAACTCACTGGAGAAGAGTCTAATGCTGGGAAAGATTAAGGGCAGAAGAACAAGGGGACGACAGAGAAGGAGGTGGCTGGAGGGAATCCAAGGAGGAAGCTGGACAGCTGACAGGGAGTGGGAGTGTGGCTCTGTGGGCTGTGGAGTAGGGGAGAAGGGCAAAGTCCGACTGAGCAGAGCAGGGGAGAGGTAGAACAAGGGAGAGGGAGTTCAGAGGAAGACCCATGGCCACCCCCTGTTCATCCTAGGGCATGCAGGGAGGAACAGAGAAGAGAGAAACGTGAGCTGCGTGGCTTACAGGGGAGGAAAGGACCCTGATTCCCCTTCTGGGAAGACAGTTGATAAGAAAGACAGGCTGCGTGCGGCAGGCTGCTGGGAGCAAACATGACTTTATCGTATGTTGTCGTGGCTTATCTGTGTTCCTGGCATCTTCCCAACCGTGTGAGTTTTGCCATGTTTTCAAGTCTGAAATTCTTGCTCCTGCCCTGCCAAACTAATTACTTCAGTTTGGCTTGTTTGGACTTTAAGTTACAGTTTGTGTTGCTCATGTTTTGGACTTAATTTTCTGCAATTAAAGGCTGTTCCTGGAAGTTTTTTTTCCAGCCAGAAGGTAACCTGGACATTGAGGGAAAAGTTGGAGATAATAAAGGGACTCTTATTGATTATCTGACTGTGTTGCCTTTGTGCCACACCCCAGGTCAACACAGAAGCAGTCAGCGTGAGCTTAAATGGACTCCGGGGGATGGTAGAGGACAGGAAGGCCTGGAGGAACGTTGTCCATGGGGTCGCAATGGGTCGGACACAACCTCGGAACTAACAACAACAAAAGCACTATCTGAAACTCAGTGAGGTTAGAAAGGTGTATTAACAATTACAGGTAGTCCTCGACTTACAACAGTTCATTAAGTGATCATTCGAAGTTACAACGGCACTGAAAAACATGACTTGTGACCGTTTTTCACTTATGACCATCACAGCATCCCCATGGTCGCATGATCAAAATTCAGGTGCTTGGCAACTGGTTCGTATTTATGACAGTTGTAGTGTCCTGGGGTCATGGGATCCTCTTTTGCGACCTTCTGACAAGCAAACTCAGTGGGGAAGCCAGGTTCACTTAACAACCGCATCATTAACTTAACAACTGCAATGATTCACTTAGCAACAGAGGCAAGAAAATGGGCAAAACCCATTTAACAAATGTTTCACTTAGCAACACAAATTTTGGGCTCAGTTGTGGTTGTAAGTCAAGGACTTTCCTGTATTTCATTGAATCAAAGGATCTCTCCTTTCTGGAATGATCAGCAGATTTCACAGACAGTTAAAAGTTTTTACATAATCAATATCTCTTTAAAGGGATAACCTGTAAATAGAAAATCAAACCAGCCCAACGAAAACTGAATAAACTCCTTGACAAGAGAAAGAAAATGAGAGCCATTCACAAAAGTCAGACCAGTAATAAGTTAAAACTGACTTTTTACTCAACGCTAAAACAGCCCTTCCCACTAGATCAGGGTTTGAGTTCAGATATCATACTAAGCTGTAACACACTTTGGTTTATTTTGACTTATTATGTTTATTTTATTTATTTATTTGGTTTGTCAATTGCTTACAAGATAATAGGTATAAGTAAAAACATAGTTATGAATACATGGATACATATAAGAAAAATAAAAGAAACAATAGGACAGGGACGGTAGGCATGTTGGTGCGCTTATGCACACCCCCTACAGACCTCTTAGGAAAGGGGTGAGGTCAATAGTAGACAGTCTAAGGTTAAAGTTTTTGGGGTTTGGGGAAGAAACCACAGAGTCAGGTAGAGCCTGGACCCAATATTATTACTTCATAAAACGGGTTTTCCAATTTCATTGTGATGGACAAACCTGACAAGTCTTACTGGCTTATTCAAAAACCAACATTATGTAAGTTATGACTCAGCACAATTTGCAAATTTGGCTGTGCATTGAAACCAAGGTAACTTAAGATATATGCTGGAAAAAGTTGGCAAAAGTTTGATCTCCACATTACTACATTAAGTCATTCCGTCAGCAAGAGAAAATTCCAAAAGTGAATATCTCCTGGGCGTTAAAAATTTCTACTCAAAAGGTCAGCGTGCCAGAAAGTCTAAAGTCCTCATTTTATGACTTGACACACTAGTTTGCTCATCCCTATTGTTCACTGATTGAATACAGAATAAAGAAATAAAGAAACAGACACCTTTATGGTGGGCAACTTTCGAGCAAGCATAAAGTCCTTTATGTTAAAAGTAAAAATAAAATGCACTTACCTGCTTGCCTTCAGGAACCAGACTGAGGGTGCCATATACTGCAACGCTGCTCTCAGTTGAAAGAACCACACCATTGTAACATTGACACTACAGGGAGAAATAAAGGAACATTTATTCAGTGTCACCAGAGGTTTAAAAAATAATAGTTTTGTGCCTTCAAGTTAGTCTTGACCCCTGGCAATTGCTTAGACAAGTCCTTTCAGTTTTCTTGGCAACATTTTCAGAAGTTGTTTGCCATCGTTTCTTCCTAAGGCTGATAAAGTGACTGGCAGGGATGTCAAACTCAAGGCACACGGGTTGCATCCAGCCCGTGATGTAGTTGGATTCGGCCCGCAGGACTGTCCTGAAAAATGTAAGGAGCCAGCCCATGTCACCTCGGCCGTCTACCTGCATTGCTTTGGCCCAGTCTACCTGAGGCGAAGAGGAAACATCAGGCCAGCATGGCTTCGGCCCAGTCTACCCGATGAGAAGAGGAGACATGGGGCCAGCATGGCTTCGGCCCAGTCTACCCAAT